ATGGTTCAGAACAGATTAACTGTATTTACATTGAACCTTATGGGAAAATTTGATTCAGGTCACGACCACAATCGGTTGGCGACCAAATTCGGAGGGGTCAGAACGGATTATCCGTATTTACATTGAACCTTATGGGAAAATTTGATTCAGGTCACGACCACAATCGGTTGGCGACCAAATTCGGAGGGGTCAGAACGGATTATCCGTATTTACATTGAACCTTATGGGAAAATTTGATTCGGGTCGCGACCAATTCGGGTTACGACCAGAGTCGCGGAACGAATTAAGTTCGTGACCCAAGGTACCACTGTATATGAATAATAGAACACACTGGAAAACTTTACCTTTGAATCACTGTGAAGTTCCCTTTGTGGTGATGCATCTATGATGGTCATTCACACGTGCAAGCCATTTATAGATACTATAGAGTTAAATCAGTTCTTCTTATTACTGAATGTTTGAATTATGTCAGAAAATATTGAGCATGACAGGATGTGAGCTGATACAAAAGTTCTGTCTGCAGAGTTAGATGCGTGCAGATGCATTCAGACTTTGAAGGCCTCAGTTGAAACACAAACACCCATGTGTGAAAGTGAACTTGGATATTCCATGGATTTGACCTTGAACGACTTGAAAAAGCACTTGCCTTTCTGGCTCACTGAGTGAGTGATATAGTATCAAAGTAAAATTCTTAAAATCTGGGCCATCTTGGTAACCACCTGATTTGCTGAATTTTTGCTTTTAATTTCTCTCTGGGAGCATTTGAGCATTTAGGATACAATAAAGGTTCTTTTTGTAGTTTCCCCCATTCCTCTCTCCAAAGGCTAAGCCAGTTTCAAAGTTAGTTTTGTAAAATAGACACCAAGGTTGCTCAAAATCCAGAAATAGCTCCTACAGCTTGTGCAAGTGAAGATGCAGCTGCTTATAATTATCCCATCCACTTATTTAGTATTTCAAATCTTTTTAAGCCACTTTTTAAGCCTCACAAAGCAACAAACAGTAAAATAAGTGATTAACAGACTATAATTGCCAAATTATCTCATCAGAACAAATGCCCAAACTATTTTGTGATGCCGTTCTGGAGATATAAACTCCAGAGATATCAACAAAAACAATCTTGAAGAAGAAAGTTGGTATTGAAGGGCAAGAGGCAAATTTATGAAGATTTCATCAAGTTTGAGGCCACCACTGAGAAATCTTCTTTTCTATACCCCTGCTCACTGTTCTTAAGTGAATAGTTGAGCATCTAGTAGCTCTCTGAATATAGACAGGGTGTAAGGGTGAAATGGTCCTTCAGATAATCAGATCCTGAGCCATTAAATAAATTTAAAGTCTAGAAATTGCACCCTGAAATCAGCTATGTAGATTTATTTCATCAACAGATCTTCCTTTTGCAACTGCTACAACTTGTGCTCAGTCCTCAAAGGCAGCCCCAGGTAAAGAGTATTGCAGAAATCTAGCCTGGAAAGTTAGATTATCAGCAAAAAGCCTAAGGGAAAGTATTCCACTATAAGAAAATAAGAAACTCTGCTGGATTAGACCAAAGAGCCAGCCTAGCGCAATGTTCAGGCACTTCTAGAAAGTCCAGGAGCAGAGTAGAAAGAAAAACCTCTTTCCTCTTGTGGATTCTAGAAGCTGAAATTCTGCCCTCAAATACGGAGGTTCCATGTAGCTGTCATGCCTAATTTTCTATCAAAATATGTCTAAACCCTTAATCTGCTTTCATGATTGTAAAACATTGCTTGTTGCCCCCAGGGCAAAATTGTCTCTGACTTCCTGAACCCAGTACCTGCAGGAACACCGTTCCTGTACAACTACATCACAGCACCCTGAAGGGTCTGAAGAAAAAATATAGGTTCCATCCAGAGTGTTATTTTAAATGCGTCTACTTTTAATCAAGGCATGAAACGGAGGGTGCGCCTCCAAGCATCTGCAGCAGACATTTTTCATTCCTGCTGTGTAGGTGCAACCCATCAGCACAGATCCGATCTCAAAGCGCAGAGCAACCACAATAGTGAAACACGGCACAGCAAGTTGTTTTGTTCTGGCAGGTAACCACTGAGAGTCGTATATTAAAATAACCATTGGGCAGGGAGAGCTATCTGGCAGCCCACAGGCCAGAAACCGGTCCCTCGAGGAAGGAGGAAGCATCTCAACTTTATTATGTGCATCAGCTGCCTTCTACCCACCCTCTAGCAAAGGGCTCTTTATCGCATCCACCCAGTGAGATGCCTCAAGTCCAATAACAATTGCAGTTTTGATAAATGTTTCCCCTTGCACACCTCAGCTGCTCACTCCTGTACCAAAAGCAAAACAACATGAATTGGACTGTGCAGCTGAAGTGCGTAAGGGAAAAGCATGGCTGCAATTAAACAGAAGCTGATTACTGGGGAGAAAGGCATTAAAGAACTGTCTGCCTGCATCTCAGCTCTCTGGGGAGTGACTTAGGAAGCAGATAAAACCTTGCTCGCTCTTCAACTTCTATTTAATCAAACTGTATCTCCCCCTTTAAAAAAAACCCAACAACCCAAAAAATAAACATAGGGTTAGAGAGTCATGAAAAATTCCATACACGGAAGGGTTTGTAATTAGCACCAAGAGTCTAATGCATCCTTTGCCACTGGTTATGCTGGCTGGGCTAATGGGAGACGAAGTTCAAATATTTGGATAGTACGAAGCTGCAGACCCTTTTCATACACCGTTCCTCCTTCCCTACAGTTCTCCCATCTATCAATGCTACCCTACCGTTCTCACTCCCAGCTCCAGCTCCCTCTCTGTGTCTGGCTCACACTACACACTAAACCCAGGTGAACAAACCACAATTCCTATACCTTGATGTGCCCAAACAAATTAATAGGTGGCTTAATGCAATGGCCTGCTTCAGGCAGCACCTTCATGAATGGATTTTCCCCCGGATCTGGGGCTGTCCAGATGCCGGGTGGGAATTTCAGTCCCAATCCATTTGAAGGGCGCCAGGAAAAAGCTAAACTGGTCTATTCAGTATCTTGACCTGAGAGCATCATTAATACTATTGCAATACTATTATTTTTGATGCTCGTAACCCAAGGTGAAGACATCTTGTTGATTATTCTGAATTCCCATTGCCATATAAGCTACATACTTTACATGCATTCCTGCAGTTGAAAATACGTGAAGGAGATCTGGGGCAGAGCCTCCAGAGGTGGAATATGAAGGGTCACTATATCCCTTTACCACACGTACACAAGTGAAGAGTTCCTATGACTCCTGCATTTTTTAATATTTACACACACATGCACGCACAAGCATACAACTTTGATATACCACATCCAGTATTTTCCTAATTTAGGCATCCATAGCATCTTATTTGGTGGGGGGAACATTGACCCCATAATGACATTAGATATTGTGGCAGGAAGAAGCAGAGAATTTTCCATCTCCCAGTGCCATTGCCCTAATCAGAAGCAGAGCTCAATTCTTGCTGTATCTATTTCAACTTGTGGTACCGAATTCTGCTGAGATTACAGCATTGTGGAAAACACACAGCTCTGCTTTTTGTTCCCTTCTAAATTGTGTGGCTTCAGATGACTGAGCCTGAACTATTCTACCACCACTTGGAAACTTATGAGAAGCTCCCATTTTTGTTGGAAGGCAGGTATAGAATAATTACATTTACCATTTTCAGGGCTGTGGTTTGAGCTCTCAACCACTAACCAGGAGAAAGATCTTCAAATCACAGTTGATAGCTCAATGAAGGTGCTGATTCAGTGTGCAAGATTGTTACAAAAAGGACCAAAAATAAAACTGCCAACACTGTAATGTTCTTACATCCACATCTGTAATATTCCGTACAATTCTGGTAGCCATGTTTGAGAAAAGTTTTAATAGAACTAGAAAAGGTACAGAAGAGGGCAACCAAAATGATTAGAGGTATCAGATGCCTTCTTTATAAGAAAAGGCTAGAACATTTGGGACCCTACTTAAAAAACAAGTGACATTGGAGGGACCTCCTTGAGAAGTATAAAATCAAGCATGGCATGGAGAAATGTTTCCCCCACTCTCAAAACACTAGCACTGAGGGGCATCTAATGAAACTGACCAAAAGGTGATTTAGAACTGACAAAATAAGCACTTCTTTCCACAACACAGAATTAACCTGTAATATTTTTTACCACAAGATACGGTGATAGCCATTAAACAGAATGGCTATGAAATGGGATTGGATGAATTAAAGAAGAACAAGTCTATGATGGTCATTCATCTTTGAGACTCAGCTTAAGTTGGGGAAAGCATGCCTTCAAATACCAGCTGTAGGAGAACAGCAGGAGAGGCATATGTTTCCATCTCTTGTGGGTGGGGCATTTGGTTGTCCCCTGTGAAAAACAAAATGCTGGACTAAGATGCGGTCTGGCCTGATCCAGCAGGTCTGCCCTTATGTTTGCAATATCCCAAAGGAAGATCTGCCACACTGAATGCCATTACACAGGCCGAGGGGACCTCTTGCATCTTCTGCACAAAATGAGTTGCTGGAACATAAAATTAAAAAAAAAAAAAAAAACACCTCTGTACTTTCTTGGAACGACAGAAAGCATTTTGTAACGGATAAGCACAGCTCTTTTTGCTCTTGCTGCATTCAAAATTAAACAAACGTTAATTACTAAGACAGCCATAATTCTAAAATTGAGGTTGAATACCATGATTTACCAATGATTTACAGAGCAATCATATTCACATTTTCATGGAAGGTTGGATGCCATACTTTTATCTGCTTCATCTAAACCATCTCCGAAAGAATAAGAAAACAACACAAAGAAATTAGGCAGGAGATCTTTTGTTTTTCTTCTTTCACTGGAGTCAAGAGCGACTTAGCCAAATCCTGCCTTGGTGTAGCTCTGCATCAGGAATAGGAACACACCCATGAAATAAGGGGTCAGACTGGCATAGACACAACCCTTCCCTGTGTGGCTCATGATCAACCTGTAACTCTACCCCATTTTCAGGATCTGCAATCAAAAATGCTGCCGGGTGAAGTGGGGCTAAGCTAGAGGGGGCTTATTTTTAGCCAACCCAGTGGATCTGCTCTTCCGGGGGCACCTGCTGCCTCATTCTAACAATGCCTGAGCCCAGCCTTCCCCAACTTGGGTGCCCTCCAGATGTCTGGACTTGTTGATGGGGAATTCTGGAAGTTGAAGCCCTCCTCACCCATCTGGAATGCACCTAAATTGGGGAAGGGTGCTTTTGGCAATGAGCCAGCAAATTTAGGAGTGTGGTCTAGGTTGCCCCTGAATACAGCACTACAAGGACTCAATTGGGCTTATCTAGGAAATATCAGATGTGCAGAATATATTCAGAACTCTGCTGGTAAACACTGCTTAGTCATTTGATTAACATTCAGTTGTCTTGTATCTTGAAAAGTTTAACAACCTAAAACATTTGACAAAAGCTTTTCTTGCCTAACAATGCTGATTACACAAGGAACTCAGAATAAGCTCTTATATTGCCAAAGCTTACATATTCATTCTGGAGAGCATCAATGCTAAAGTTTTGAAAAGAGACTTCAAATTTATATTATTCAGATTTGACTTCCTGCCTGTAAGCTTTAGTGAACTTTATTCTTGGAAAGGCCTTTGGGTAAAACAGTAAACAGGAGTCTATTAGATGCAACCAGGCTTTGGGGTTAAACAAGAAATCCAAATATAAACAAAGCCATCCTCAACTGCAAAGGTAACTGTATCTCTCAAGAAAGGGCAAGCAGTTTCTCTAAACAACGCCATTCTCCCACTTCTGTTGAACATACTAGATAGAGCAGATTAATCTCACCTATCACCACCTTTAATTGATGGGGAGAAGTTACAGATGCTTCATGACCCTTTAACAGCAGTCCAGAGACATCACTACCATTAGGCCCCAAACTGGGCCCTGCCCAGGGGTTTTCTGTCCAAAGTGGTGCATAGACTCAATCCTCCAGTTCAGCAGCTAATCCAAAAACCCCATTTCCACAGCCTCGGCTACTTCAGGATGAAGCAACCGCGTGGCTAAACGCTCTATGTCATCCAGGCTCAGCAATCGAAGGCTCCGCTCATAATCCTAGGGAAGGGAAGGGAAAGAAAGGAAGAGAAAGAACTGAATAAAATTGCCAGGCAATGGCCAGAACACTTCCAAATAAAGACATGCGCACATGCACGCACACACACACAAAACACTAAAGTTTGCATGCATTAATGCAAACACATGAACAATACATTTAAAGTGATGGAGGCTTCAATCCTCCAATTCCTGAGAAAATGGTCCAGGAAAGATTCTTTGCATTTCTTCCTCTGAGCACTAGGTGGCAGCACCTAGCTGATTTTGGCTGACCTTAGAAAGCTAAGCAAGGTTGGACTTGGTTAGCTCTGCAATGGGAAATCACCAAGAAAGATCAAGAGCGTAGGAAGTCAAGAAAACTTCTTGAACAAAGACAACGGTGAACCACTTCTGCGATGAGGCAAAGGAAATATAGGAATGTGTGAGAACCTCTTTATTTTTGCCTTTGAGAAGAGAGAAACCAAGAAGCCAGCTTTGTTCATTCCCACATAGCAAAACCTGGATATTGTGCATCTTCTGGTGTTGGAGCACCCCACTTCTGAATGTAGCATTGCTCTGCCATTATATGAGCTGTTTCATGACCTACAATTACCTCATTATTACTACCTTCAATCCTGGATAAAAAGAGGAAGTTCACGAGCAATGGGTAGACTACTGTTGCCTGCTTTTTCTTACTCTATGTTAAAAAAACCAGAATGTTACTAGAAGGTGAATAAGCAGGGAAAGAGAGAGATTATTTTTCTACACACACACTATGTCTACTCTCTGGCAGCACTTCTAATATCTAATACCAAGATGGGTGACTAAATGGCCTATATGCTATATTATCTAGGAAGCTGGAAAAGGTAAACTTAATGCTCTTCTTTAAATATAGTGATAGATTTTTACCCGGGAAACCTGTTAAAATATGTCTGTTCTGATACTTTAATGTTCTCAGGCCAGATATTATGGTTTGGTGCAAACATGCAAGATAAGGGAAAATTCAATAACAACTTCTATGTATGAATGAACTTATTTACTTACTTGCCTTATTTATAATTTTCTGCCTGCCCCCAAATACCTCATTTGATTCTCTTTTCCTGCCTTCCAGTGGACTACTGGGACTGATCCCTCTATTCGTAGAGGACTGAATTTATTGAGCCCTTTCAAAACTATTCTAATATGGAGGAGTAACACTACCCACGCCAGTGTTGTCCAAACTTGGCCACTTTAAGATGAGTGGACTTCAACTCCCA